TATACGGTGGAATGAATGTAAAACTAAAGTTCTCCCATGTAAAATATCATATAATTCACAATAAAACATGAAAAAAAGAAAGATTTATATACTACATTAAATATAAAGACAGGAAAGATTTTAAAACATGCATCCAGCAAGAATAACCTGAACCAGCAAGAGTCTGTGTAAAGACTTACATTCTAGAACTTACAATTTGGAAAAATTATAATTAAACAGAAGCCTAATAGGGGCTTAAATATCTCACTACAAGATATGATACATCATTGAAAATAACACTATAGTTGTTAGTCAAATAAGAAGACATTCCCTTTATACAATTAAATGACAAAAAGGAACATAAAAAACAAGTTTCCATTTTTATAAGTAAATATTATATATAGTTGTGTATGTGCACATACATATATGCACGTTTCTGTGTGAATATATATAAGCCATAAAAAAAAACATGATACAGCTAGCATGAGCATTGAAAACATTATTCTAAATGAGTAAGTCAGACATAAAAGGACAGATGATTCCACTTCTATTAAATAGCTAGCATAAGCAAATGCATAGTGACAGAAGGAATACTGAGTTTCTGTGTTTAGGGTGATCAAAACTTTGCAAATCAATAGTGTTGAAGAGTGCACAACATTATGAATGTAATTATCATCAATGAATTCTACATTTTAAATTGATTAAAATGTCAAATTAAAAATCCATAAAGAAATCTAACTATCATCAGTTAAGCTTTAAAAAGGATGCCAAATTCATTCAGTGGGGAAGAAGCAGTATCTTCAACAAATGATGCTGCAAAAGTGGATTTCCACATGCAGAAAATGCAACAATAGTGAAACATTACAGCATACATTAAAAATAATCCAAAATGGATCAAAGACTTAAGTGTCAAATCTAAAACCATAAAGCCCTTGTAAGAAAATATAGGAGCAAAGCTTCAGAACCTACTTTTTCAATGAAACAATGGATTTATAAGCAAAAAAAAAAGCAAAATCAATAACTGGAGCATCATAAAAGTTAAATACTTAGGTTCTTCAAAAGAGTAAACTATAGACTGGAGGAAAATCCTTTAGGGATGATAGAATTGATGAGGGTCTAATAAAAATATACAGAAAACTTTAACAAAAAGACAAATAATACAACAAAAAGCTGGACAGAGGATTGCAGGGATCTAGCGGATCCTGGGAAATAAAGGTGGGACTATTTTGTTTCTGTTCATTTGTTTTTCTCTGTCTGTGCACCTCCACTCTGGTGAATAGAGAGGAGTCAACAGGAAAACAGCTTAAAACAGGAGGAGGGTCTCCCAAAACAGCTCTGGCCAGCCTTGAGCTATTTATCATTAAGAGAAACACCTGAAGACAAAAAAGAAAAGGGGTCGAAAATTAAACCTTGAGATAAGTCATAAGGAGTAACAGTAACATAAGGTGGCCTTGAAGGTAAGAAGCCAAAAAAGGGGCATTACAGTCTTACTCATATTTTCCTATGTTTCTTTCTTCTTCTTCTTTTTTTTAATGTGTGTGGTGATTATACACTTTAGTGTGCAATCTGTTTTTGTTTTGTTATTTGGTCCCCCTTTTACTTTGGGGGGGGGGCTTTCTCTCCCTACATTACTCAAGAAGAGACAGCAACTGCGATCATATAGCCAAGCTACAATCACATCATATAAAATCCCAACATTCAGGCAAGAGCCAATACCAGGTGTCATATATGTGTTTGTACGTGTGTGTATATGGAATTTTCCATCTGACTTTATTTTCAAATATACTTTCTTTTTTTAAAAAAATAAAACCAATATACTTTCTGAGGAAATGAAAATATCAGTATTAGGAATCCAATTATACAAAAATTACTACATCTAGCCTAACATAGATATATTTATATTTTATAATATACATTAAGTGCCACTAATTATACAGTAGCTATAAAGTAATTAACATGAAACTACAGAACTGTAACTATGCCACAGCTGCATAGACTTGGGCTTTTCTGGCTGAGAACATTTTCAAAAAACTATATGCAGACTTCAGAGTTGTGCCAATGAAACACACTTATGAGAAAAGTTCATAAGTGGTGACTCAACAGAGTATCCTGCAGCTGACACATAACAAATAGGGCATATTGGTTATAAAGTAGTTACAGCCTAATTCACACAAGTTACAAACATTTTCTCTTTCTAGAAAGAAGCAAGAAGTAAAGAAATTCCTTGAATTAGCACCTGGTGTGTCAGGTGGGCGTGCAGAGTAGGGTTGTTAGAGCAGTGCCAAAGGGGCCCTAGTGGGCCAGAGGGGTTGGACATCATTAATAACCATGGTTAACATCTAAATACTACTAGCAAGATAACTTCTGATTTGTAACTAAGGTAAATTATAGATAAATGAAAAAGGCCAGTAATCATACACTAAAATTAATAAACAGCACTTCAAAATTGACAAAGTAAGTGCTGTGTTTATAGCGAAGTTTCACAACACAAGGCACCCAGATTTTATCTACCCATGTCTGGCTTGCAGAGCCACTCTTGTGGTCATTTCAAAAACCTCTCTCTTTCCAACTTTGGTCTTTGCTGAGCACTTACTAAAATTACTCTGAGTTCAGTAATAAAAGAAGTAAGAACAGTAGCCCATCCGCTGATCACATTTACCAGAAGGCAATCAGAAAGTTTAATAGTACACCAACACATATTCATCTAATCGTTGAAAATACATCTAGTTATTGAAGATGCCCAAAAAGAAACAGAAGATCTCAGCTCAAGTCCAGAAACAAATGAGCT